TTCTTTCCTATAATTTTCTTCTGTACGTCGCAACGGAAAGGAAACGATATTGAGTGGTGCATTGCGTTTACAAAGCGCATTATTGGAGAGGTGTTTTTGGTAACCTTTTCGCCGGATTTCGTGATGTCTGACGCGGATAACGCACAATTCAACGCGTGCAAAGTTGCATTACCACGCTCCACGTTCTTGATGTGTTGGTTCCACGTGTGTCAAAATGTGAAAGATCGATCTAAAGGGAAGTTGGAGCGCGTGACTATAGACATGATATTTCGCGACCTGAACAACCTGCACGATGCACGAAATGAGGATGAATACTTGAAAAGAAGGTCATTCATTCTAGCTTCGTGGCGCTAAGCATCAGCTGTTTGTGATCCTTTCCGTAAAATAGCAGATCATATTATATCTCAGTGGATATTACACCCTCGGTTTAGCATGTGGCAAGCTTTCCACACACCTCCGGGATACGCCGCAACGAATAACCCATTAGAGCAGTATCATAAAACACTTAAGTTAGTGAACAAGTCTAAGAGAACTGCACCCATCGAAATGCTCGAGAAATTAGATCAGTCGCGCCTCGTTTTTGCTAACTCGAAGACTACTTTCAAGAGCACCCCTCATGTTTCGCAGCGATTAAAAGCCCTATACTCTTTGACATTACGGAAGCGAGAACTTTCTGCGAGATTGGTTGCAGTTTCTGATGGCATCCCAGCCCAACTAGTCCAAACACAACATATTCCAAGAAGGCGGTATGGTGATATAGAGAGCAGCCCGTCCGCTGATTTTTTCGTGGAGCCAATAAACCAAAATCTACCGTTTAAGTCAATTCATAAATTGCGTATACAGTGGCAAAGTATGCCGGAAAATGGATGGCTCGTTAACGCTGTTTCGCGTACATGTGACTGCCGTTTTTGTGGAAAGTTTGGTGTGTGTGTTCATATAATCCACGCTACACAGGAATTGCGACTTCCCTGCCCCAGAATGCCTGATCGCGAACGTACATTTGTTAGTGTAGGAGGCCAGCGCAGAAGTGAAGAGAGAATCGGACATGGAAGCCGACATCAACATGATCTAGCTGTCACGTCCTCTAATCTACAGGGAAATGAAGACACTGTGCAAGCGGTTGCTCACGGGCAAATGTACGGTCCATGGCTGCGTTGCCCTCCGGCCGAGCAGAATAGGGAATTACAAAATAGCATATCCATTCCAAGGACGTTTCCAGATTCAGCGGAATTTTTTTTCCTAACTGGAGCCCACTGAATTTGAATGATGGAGTTGAAGAACAATTCGAGTTCAGTGAATATGACAATACGGATCACACAGCACACGATCAACCATTTGAATTTGAATTTGCTCTGACTCACCTTGAAAACCGAAATCACTATGACCGTCGTACCTCAACCTCATACGCTTCGAACGTTAATCGTGACGACCACAGCCCTGACACATCATTCTATACTTTTCGAAACACAAACCATTGGTCCATGACAAACATGCATGTTGAAGAAACCTCTAGAGTTGGTGGCGGCCGCGATAATTCAGAGAATCCATTTGGGCGTATCTCTGATATCCACACGACCAGTACACAGCAAAGAAGTACGCATCGTGCTTCTTGTACTCATACTAAGCGACGTAAGTGCTAATACCATCACAATAATACATATCTTGATTCTGGGACCCATTTTTGTGGCATTTCATGCATTCGATACACATAAATGTCTCAATTCTAATTGCTTCTCCATCATATATCTGTGTAACAACCATCTCACAATTGCATGTAAGTAGAATAAAAATAGTTAGCGAGTCTTGTTGTTACAGAAGATAACTGGCACTTTACGCGTTGGTGAAGCTTTCCAAATCACTGGTGATTCATTTCCACATGATCGTCAACCAAATCTCTGGTGATATAGACCAAATGTTTGGTGGTGATATACAAATCTTTGGTGCTTAGTCCTCTCCCTTCGTGCAGGTGCAAGGGGACTAGTCCATCAGGTCGTCGCATCTACATGTAGCCTACCCTCATCGTCATGTACAAACCGTATACTACAATAGATACAGCAATCGACATCATGAAGGCAACTGGGGACAACTGTTGACTCCTCATTTTGGAGTCAGACCAGTCAAGCAATTTACTCATGCGAATCGACTTTGCTCTAGTTTTAGGGCGATCGCCATCACCACAAGCTTTGTCGAAGTCAACGCTGACGATAACGCAAAGGAAGACTATCTCTCAGCAACCAAGAGTATCAGCGTTGATAGCACTCTTCAGTATTTCAAGGATGCACAAGAGAAAATCGACAAAGAGGTGAAATTAGTCTTCAGCGAGGATGAAGAGAGAGTTGGAGTACCAGGCTTCAGCAGATTGAAATCTCTTTGCGTAGGCACCCGAAGCAGGTTCGGGGGAACCTGGGCCGGACGAAGAATCTTGACAAGATACAAGCGTCTAAGGCTATTCAAAAGCTGAAGTCGATTTTGGGGTTTTCGAATAAAGGTAAAAACAAAATCACGCCCGAGAAGGTAAAAAGGTGGAGGCATATGCTCGGGACAACCCGACAAGTGGTAAACTATGGCGGGTGCCCCCGATTTGGCGTATTGGGCCGTGGTTGGGGGTGTCTCCATATACGACGGCTCTCTTCTTCTCATGGCTGCAATCCAGGAGTCGACTAACTAACACAACTACTATTTCCTGGTAATAGCTTGCATGCATGATGGGACTTTGATGGCGTCGACTAAAATAAGGGTTTAAAAAAAACAAGACTAAAGCTTATTCCGGACTTTACAGATTAACCTGTCTGAGCTAATACAGACCGTCGAACAACAGTTGATCAAGTATAACAAGTTGACCGTGTTAAGGCCGTTGGTGTGGTGCACAACTCTGAAAAAAAATGAGTGAGATCCGAACGAAATAATTCAATCTGGCAATATATAGAAATGTCTGAAGATACACAGGACGTTCCATGAGATCAGCTTAGAACGGACAAGCACTTGATTTATGACGATACATACCACGGATTCTTCCTACCAGTAGATAAAATCCAACATGTATTTCAGCACAGTCATGTTATGGTAATGCTTAAAAAAACTGTCGTTATTGAATTTTTGGTGCTTGCCACACACGGCGTCTTGTGGCTACGGTCTCCAAAAACAATTTATATGTTGGTCAAGCATCGAGTTGCGTCTGAAAATGCTTACAATAATAATAATAAAATTGAAAACGGTCGCACCTTGAAGCCAGGGTGCCTACCCATCGTTACTGTAGATTTGGAGCATGTTGAGTTGGAGGCAAATGCAGAAGTGTGTAGATTAGCGTTAAATAAAACTCTTCCAAAACACTATATCTCTGTTGTTCCCCTCTGTGTCAGCGGCCAAATCGTGACGCGGATCACAGCGGGTCACCAAAATCACACCAGAAACAGGCTGTTTTTGTACAAAATTATGGTCGACACACAATGTATCTACCGAGGTTAGGGATAATAT